CCTACTATCTGCCAGGCATTGTGCTAAGCACTGGGAGTTACAATGAAAGTAGAAAACAGTCCTTGTTCTAAGGGAGCTCACAATTAAATAGAAGAGACAACATGAAAACAACTATGGAGGGACAAGATAGTTACATGATCAATTGGGGAATAATCTCAGAGGGAAGACATTAGCATTAAGTGAAAATGGAAAAGGCTTCTTATACAAGGTGGGACTTGGAGCAGAACCAGAAGAACACTGTACACAGTAACAATATTGTACAATGACCAACTGTGAAAGACTTAGCTCTTCTCAGCAACACAATGATCCAAGACAATTCCAAATGACTCATGATGAAAAATGCTCTCCACCGCCAGAGAAAGAACTGATGGAGTCTGAATGCAGATTCAAGCATACTTTTTTTCACTTTATTTTTTTGTGTGTGTGTTTTTTTTCCTTTTGGGTCTGTCTCTTTCACAACATGACTAATATGGGAATATGTTTTGCATGATTGCACATGCATAACCTATATCAAATTGCTTACTGTGTCAGGGAGGTGGGAAGTGAGAGAGGGAGGGAAGAAGTTTAGTACTCAAAATTTTTTTAAAAAATGAATGTTAAAAATTGTCTTTACATGTAGTTGAGGAAAACATATTATTTTTTAAAGTAGGACTTTAGCTAAGACTTGAAGGAAGCCAAGTAAGCTAGGCAGAGGAGATGAGGAGGAAGAATATTTCAGGCACAGGGGACAGTCAGTGAGAACTCTTGCAGTAGGGAGATGAAGTGTCTTGTTCAAGGAACAGCAAGGAGACCAGTGTCACTAGATCATAGAGTATGTAGAGAGAAATGATGTACTGGAAAAGTAGGAAGGGGCCAGGTTATGAAAGACTTTGAAAGCCAAATAGGATTTTATATTTGATCCATAGGTACTTGGAGGAGACAGTTAGGTGGCTCAGTAGATAGAGCACTGGGCCTGGAGTCAGGAAGATCTGAGTTCAAATCCGGCTTCAGACACTTAACACTTACTAGCTGTGTGACCCTGGGCAAGTCACTTACCTTCTGTTTGCCTTAATCCATTGGAGAAGGAAATGGTAAACCACTCTAGTATCCTTGCCAAGAAAATCACTCGGGACAGTAAGGTCCCTGCAGTCACAACGAGTCAGACACAACTGAACAACATGGGTACTAGGGAGCCAATCAGGTTTGTAAGTTTGGACCTATCTCACCGTCCCCACCCCTAGATTCAATCAACTGTTAATTCTCCCTGCACAGCATCACTGACATCCTTCCCATCATCTCCACTCAACGTGATCCCCCTTCTCCTGGACTGTCCTTAGTCTTCTAACTGTTCTTCCCACTTCTCATCTCTGTTCTTTTCAATCCTTCCTCCTCCTGCCAAGTAATTTTCCTAATCTGTAACAGGTCTGACCACATCACTCTTGTGTTTGAAGAGTTTCAGTGATTTCTGTTGGACATGACCTCTGATTCCACTGGTAGAGGAAACTCCCTCTATCAGTGCAGGTTGGTACCTGTTAAATAATTTATAGTCTTGAGAGTTTTCTGGGACACTGGAGAGATTAAGTGTGTAGCCCGAGATCATGTGGCCAGCATGAGTCAGAGGTAGAATTCAAACCCAGATCTTCCCAATTCCAAGGCTAGCTCCGTATCTATTAGGCCATCCCGCCTTTCATCACATATCAGGTTCTGAGAGCTTGTAACCAGAACTCTGTCTACATAACAGGATTTCCCCTGCCCATTTCTTGCTTCCTATAACTCTTCCATAAAGCCAGGGCCCAATCCCTGCCCACTCAAGAGATCTTGGTCTCTCTGACCCCTAGATTCAGTGCCCAGATCCCACCCTGTGAGCTCACATATGTACTTCCTCATTATGTGGTTCTAATTGGGAATGTAAAAATGACCCCAGCTTTTTCCTGCTGTGAGAGGGCAGGAACACAAACCATGGCCTCAGGGTATGCTTGATTTGGAAACATGTGATCAGGAGGCTGGAAACGACCTTGAAAAGTCAGACCTTGAAAATGTAGACCAAAGTGGACGGGAGAATTAAAAATAAGTTAAAATTTGCTCCTCAGGGCTAGTGAATCTCAGCTTCCTAGCAGCCTTGGTCAATGTCAACAATTTATTATTATGAACCCAACTAAGGTAGTAGGAGGAAGGGGGAGGGAAGGGGGGACCTACTTCAGCTGGACTGCCCAAGAGACCCTTGATTCCCCATGCAAGGTCCCTGATCAACACTGGGCTTACCTTGTCATTATGAGAGCTGATGGGCAGATATAGGAGTATCCCAGTATGGCTTCCCAATCAACCACTCCCTTAAGAATCCTAGTGCTCAGGGGCAGCTAGGCGGCGCAGTGGATAGAGTACCAGCCCTGGAGTCAGGAGGACCTGAGTTCAAATATGACCTCAGACACTAGCTGTGTGACCCTGGGCAAGTCACTTAGCCTCAATTGTCTCACCAAAAAAAAAGAGTCTTAGTGCTTAGAAGGGTTTTCCAGAATTCATGTACTCCATCCCCCTTGGAGATAGATGAACCCCATGTCTTAGGATCATAGGTTTGGAGCTGGAAGGGACCTCAAAGACCAACTAGTCCAGTTTTCTCTCCCCATTTTACAGATGAGGAAACTGAGATTTAGAGGAGTTAAATGATTTGTCCAGCAGTCACACAGGTAGTAAGTGGCAAAGCCAGGATTGAAAATCATCCCAGATAGACAGGAATAATCCCCTTCTTAAATCTCTTCTACCATATTCCATAATAAACTCTCCAGGTCTCTCATAAAACCTCCTACCCCTCTGGCTCTGAAATCTCTAGGGGAAAAGCCTGAATAATAATACCAATAATAATACCTGACATTTATAAAGGGCTGTTGTGAAGATCAAAAGAGATGATACATGTAAAGTGCTTTATAAACCTCAAAGAGCTATGTAAATGTCAGCTATGAATATCATATAACACTTTAAGGGCCGCAAAGTACTTTACATACATTTTCTTACTTGACCCAGTAAGCTAAATGCTATTATTATCCCTGTTTCGGAGGTGAGGAAGCTGGGAGGGTAGAGAGGTTGAGGGACACTCCGAGTCTCCAGCCAGATTCATGAGGATTGTTCCGGGCCTGAGTCTGGAAAAGCCCCAAGGTTCCAGATTGGGTCCTGGGGTTTCTAGTCACGTTGGTCTGATGTGAACCTTCTTGGAACAGACCGAAACATCAGGGCTCCCCCGGATCTCCGGGGCTAGCATATTACTCCCCATTACTCTTCTGCATATAGTGCTCCATTTAGCACTTCTTCATATCCATTTCCCACCTCCACGCCTTTGCACTGATCATCCCTCACGCCTGCAATGAACTTCCCTTGCTATAAAAATCCCTAGGCTCCTTTCAGACTCAGGTCAGGCATCACTTTCTTCATGAGACCTTTCCTGATTCCCAACCCCCAGCTGGGGCTAATGGTCTCCCCCGTCATTTCCTGTTTAATATATACATACGTGTTGTGTTCCCTGCCTCCCCTCACCACCATGGAATGCAAACTCCTTGAAGGCAGGGACTGTCTCACTTTTGTCTCTGAATCTCCAGTGCCTAGCACAAGGCTTAATAAATATTTGTTGAGGGGCAGCTAGGTGGGGAAGTAGAGCTCTAGCCTTGGAGTCAGGACCTGAGTTCAAATCCGTCCTCAGACACTTGACACTTACTAGCTGTGTGACCCTGGGCAAGTCACTTAACCCTGATTGCCTCACAAAAATTAAATATTTGTTAAATGATTGATTGAGCAGGTGATTCGGTTGGGGGGGATGCTCAAGGATATGTGTCCTTTAAAATCCCCTTGATCTTCAAGGGGATAGTGACCCAAAGATCTCAAAGAAATAATGATGGTAATAATATGAATAGCTAGTATTAACAAAGTGCTTTAAAGTTGGCAGACTCTTCCCATGTTATCTTCTTTGGTCCTCACAACAATCAGGTGGGGTAGTTGCTATTATTATCCCCATTTTGTAGAGAGGGAAACTGAGGTGAAGTGAGTTGCCCAGAGTCACACAGCTAGTAAGTGACTGAGGGAGGATTTGAACTTGGGTTTTCCTGACTACAAGTCTAACGCTCTACCTGCTATGCTGCTCTTGGCCTATATACAGGGCCTTTGTTCATGCCCCCCTCCCCAGGGGCACCCAGCCCTCGATCAGACTTCCAGGATATTGGCTGTCCCTTGGACGTGGCACCCTCTGGATAATTACAGAACAGAGTGGACACTCCTGCTGAGCCTGGCACTTTGAGGGGTGGGCTGAATGGCCAGGGACATGGGCTCACTGGTCTTCAAGGAGACCCTGGACAGAAGCCACTGTCCTCAGCAAAGCTTGCTTATTCTTTCCTATGGACTCTCTGAATGTGTTCTTATGACCTTTCCATACTTTTTCCAGACTCACCTTCTAGACCCAAGGTAAGAATCATGGGTCTGTAGTTTTAGACCTACCTTAGAGACCAGAGTACAGGCTCTTACTAAACAGTTGAAGAAACTTAGGCTTCGGCAACTGGGTGGTGCCATAGTGCACAGAGCCCCGGGCCTGGAGGCAGGAAGACTCATCCTTGTGAGTTCAAATCCAGCCTCAGACACTGACTGGATGTGTGACCCTGGGTGAGTCACTTAACCCTGTTTGCCTCAGTTTCCTCATTTGCAAAATGAACTGGAGAAGAAAATGGCAAACTACTCCACTATCTTTGCCAAGAAAACCCCAAATGGGGTCACAAAGAGTCAGTCATGACATAGAGGAATTTATAGAATCACAGAGTTAGAACTGCAAGAGACCTTGGGGACACTGAGTCCAACTTCATTTTACAGATGGGGAAACTAATTCTGAGAGAGGTTAGGCAGCTTGCCCGGGGTCACACAGCTTGTGAGCATCTGAGGCGGGTTTTGAACCCAGGACTTCCTGATTCCAAGTCCAGTGCCCTATTCACTATTCCATGTTGACTCTCAAATTGTCTCGTAATGCGGCCCAGACCCCATCTCCCACCTACCTTGCTCTTTGCAGCTGGGGCTGGCTTGCTGCTGCCATCAGAAATAAACATGCTACGGAAAAGCTTATTCTTCAAGCCGCTCTCTTGAGTCTTGGGGCTGGGGCTGCCCTCCCCACTGGGCCTGCCCGCAGCCGGGCCCACCAGGCAGGACTGGGGTCTTCGGTCCTCTGAATTCTGCCTCCCAACCTTGCCACCTCTGCTTGAGGTCAGGGCAGGGCAAGTCTCCAGGGGTGGACTGGGCAGGCAGGAAGTGAGCTGTAAGCATCGCTGGGCAGCACCTTGGAACTCTGCAGGCCCTAGGGACTGGGTTTTCATCACCAGCCCGTTAGGCTGGGCCTGGTCAGCCTGGTATTCCGGCCACATCATCTCTCGTCGGCCTGCTTTGGCTCCCCCGTTGCAGTTGAGGTAGATACCATAGGGGTCAGCCCTCTCAGGCTGGGGACTTTGAAGGTACATGTCTGTGTCTGGGCCCCATCGTTCATCCCCCAGGAGCCCCAGCGACTGAGCTCTCCTTCTGCTGGTGGGGCTCCGGCCCCGAAGGGTGTTGGAGCTGATGACAGAGAGCTTCTGAATATCATTGAGCAGCCCGGAAATGTAGCCCTCCACTTCAATGGTGCTGCCCCGGACCACCGTCTGTCAGGAGAGAGAAAAAAGAGGCTGTATGAAGGCTGGGGGCAAGAGGAATGGTGGGCCAAGAGGGAATAGCATAGGATGGGGAGAGTCCAAGAGAGGAAGCAAGAAAGGAGGCTGTCAGAGGACAAGACCTCAAGAAAGGAGAGGAGACTTAGCCATTTAAGAAGGATCTCTCATGGAAACCAGGCTGCAGCATCCCACCCTTGGTGCCCGCCACTGATCTGGTCTAAAAGAGAACCGGGGCTCAGATCGGAGGACTTAGGTTCAAATCACAGTTGGGTCACTTATTCTCTGTGATCTTAAGCACGGCATGTGCCTTTCTGGGCCTCAGTTTCCTCACCTACAAAGTGAAGAGATTGGACAGAACGACGTCTGAGGGCCCTTTCGGGTCTAAATCAACGACACCGTGTCAGTCATTCTCACCTCTTTACAGTTGGTCAGTCATTTTCAGTGGGGTCTGACTCTCCGAGACCCCTTTTGGGGTTTTCTTGGCAAAGATACTAGAGTGGTTTGTCATTTCCTTGTCCAGCTCATTTGACAGATGAGGAAACTTTAGCTCTACCTATACTACTGAAGAGGGAGGTTCCCCCGCCCCAGTTCAGGAACTGTTCCTTAGTTCAGTGACTGGAATTCACACCCAACATCTTCCCTATCTTGAGAATGCACAAATTAAGCTCAGCTCCTTCCTGTTTTTATAGCATCTTTCACAACCCGGGCAAGTGACACACAAAAACGGAACCCTCAAAAATTTAAAGACAAACACTTTGGTGGAGTATGTCATTATTGGACATAATGAGGCTACTCTATGGGGGAGGGGTTAAGCTTATTTGTTTCTGCACAGTGAAGGGAGTGTGAGTGATGTTAAAATTTTGGTACCCTGGAGCAAAGCTCCAGTTGCCTTAACCTAGTGAGGTCTCTATTTTTTTTAAAACCCACAAAGAAACCACAAGTTAGGAACAATTTTGTTTCTGGTTATCAGTTAGCCCTGAAAGATTAAGATCAATTGTAAACTCCTTAAGGGCAAAATTATGTTTTCCCTACTCCTCCACGCTGCCTCGCCTGCCCCCCCCCACCCCCCCAAGTTACTTTGCACACAGTAAGTGCTTAATGAGAATATACTTGTACTGGCACTCTCACAGAGCTGTTGTGAGGATCAAATGAAATGCCAAGAGATAGAGGGCCTTGGTAACTGCATATTTGTTGTTGTTGAGTCTCTTCAGTCATAATTGACTCTCCATGACCCCATTTGGGGGTTTTCTTGGCAAAGATACTGGAGTGATGTGCCATGTCCTTCTCCAGCTCATTTTACAGATGAGAAAACTGACGCAAAAGGGTTAAGTGCCTTGCCCAAGGTCACACAACTAGTAAGTGTCTGAAGCTGGATTTGAACTCAGGTCCTCCTGACTCCAGGCCTAGCACTCTATTCACTTCACCACCAAGCTGTAAAATTCAATAGTAAAATGACTAATATAGAAATATGTTTTACATGATTGAGATACATAACCTATTCAAAATTTTTACCGTCTTAGAGAGAGCAGGAGGTGAGGGAGTTAGGGAGAAAATTTGGAACTCAAAAAAAATTTTTTTTTTTCATTTTGTTTTTTGGTGAGGCAATTGGGGTTAAGTGACTTGCCCAGGGTCACACAGCTAGTAAGTGTCAAGTGTCTGAGGCCAGATTTGAACTTTTTTTTTTTTTTAACTTAAAAATTTTTTAAAGTGAATGTTTAAAAATATCTTTATATGTAATTGAAAAAATGAAACACTATTTATATTTAGTAAATATAAGATTATATAATATTTAGTAAATATAAGATTAATCCTATTATTGTTATAATTGCTTTGAAGCAATTTGAAACCTCTTGTCCCTCTCATATCCCACTCTTTTAAACACCCTTGTTCTGGACCCTAGCAACAAAACTCCCCTCCAGTTGTAGAAGGGCCCCTGCCCTTCATCTCTGAGCCAGCTGAGGACTGTGCAGAAAGAAGGCTGATTCCTTCTGCAGAACAGAACCTGATTCCTGTTCCTGGGAGGCTTCTCACCTGCCCTAAGGAGCGCAGTCTCTACCTCTAAGAAGCTTTAGCTCCATAGGCTCACAGATTTAGAGCTAGAAGAAACTTTAGAAGTCACCAAACTAACCCCTTTGTTTTACAGAGCTGAGGCTAACCAAGGGTAAGTGACTGACCCAGGGTCACACAACTAAAAAGTGTCTGAAGCAGCATTTGAACTTAGGTCTTCCTGACTCCAAACCAGTGATCAATTTGTCAAACTACCTTGCTGCCTCAGAGGCCCAAGGCCCGAGGCCTGAGGTCTCCCCTATATAGAGTAATGAAAGAGCAACCTTTTTGCCCAGAGCTGAGCCCCAGCCCTCCTTGCCTTTTCCTGCCTCTTCCCCTCTCTTCCCCAGATAGAATGCCTCTATAGACCTCAAAAAGGCATGAAGGGAAAACGGGTTTTGTCACTTTCCAAAAAGGTGATGATTCAGGGACAGCGTCTAACAAGGGTCTGGGCGTACTACCTGCCACATGAATACTTGGTTTGGTGCTGGTGAGGTCAGTCTTGTTGGACAAACTCTACCTTTGGCATCCTTACTCTGCTCCAGCCCTGCCTGACCTTAGGCATCTCTCCATGTGGCAGGGGATCTGGGGTTGGGGAGGGATGGATCTGTTGAGGCAAAGGTCTCTTCGCCTACCCAACAGCACCCCCCTCCCTCTATTTGCCCCAAGACTTGCAGAAGATGGCCCAGGGTAAAAACTGGGCAAGATGAAGACCCAGGTCCTACCCCTGTGTCTTGAACCTGGACTCTTATCTTGGCTGCTTCTCCCTAGGCCACTCTGTGAAAAAGGAGGCTAATTAGTTGTTTTTGTTGTTGTTCAATCATGTCTGACTGTTCGTGACCCCATCTGGGGTTTTCTTGCTAAAGATACTGGAGCGGTTTGCCATTTCCTTCTCCATCTCATTTTACAGATGAGGAAACTGAGGCCAACAGGGTTAGTGACTTGCCAGGGTCACACAGCTGGTAAGTGTCTGAGGCTGGATTTGAACTCACGAAGATGAGGCTTCCTGATTCCAAGCCCAGCGCTCTATCCACCGTACCACCCAGCTGCCCCCGACTAATTAGTAGGGAATTAGAATAATAGTTCATTGATAACTAATAATTAAGAGCTTCCTTGAGGTTTCTTTGTGGTTTTAGCAGAAGCTATTTTCCCCCAGCCAGGAAGAATCTGACCTTAATCCCCTCCTTTTCTCTAGGCTTTGGGAGAGCCTAGCAGGCAGCTGGGTAGCAAAATGGTTAGAGAGTTGAACTTGGAGTCAGGAAGACCTGAGTTAGAAGGCTGCCTCAAATGATTACCAGCTGAGACCCTGGGCAAGTCATTTACCTATCCTCAGCCTGTTTCCTCATCTGTAAAATGGGAATGATAATAATAATAATCATAATAATAATAATGATAGCATCTACCTCTGAGGGTTGTTTGTGAGGCTCACATGACATAGTTTACATAAAGTGTTTTTCAAACCCCACCATGCTATTGAAGTGCTAGTTATTCTCTTCATCAGTGTGGGGCTCACCCCTTTTCCTCTAGGGGTTCCCAACACCCTCACCTTCATGGGTTGGAGCTGGACCCGGGTGATACGTGAAGGGTCCACCACAGGTTTGGGCCTCCTCAGGGTGTCCAGGATGTTCTGCCATTGTGGAGGGAGGCCCACAAACTTGCCTTCCTTGGGGTCAAAGGACGTGTGGACACGGTGCTGGAAGTTCTGCGGGGCAGAGATTTCTGGACGTTTCTTTTTCTTTTTTCGGAACATTATGTCTGAAAATCAGAAGAGAAGACCATGTAGTCAAGATGGGATTTTGCTCAGAAGTGCTCATTGTGTGTGTGTGTGGAGGGGGTAATGGCAAGATCTGTGGTTAAGCCAATTTCCTTCTAGCCCCTTCGCCTCCTCCCCTCTCTGCTTTCCTATCATCCGCTCAATGAGCTCTACTCCAGAAATAGCTTTCTACCTCCCATCTGGCCAGTGCTTCCCTTCATCTTCTTTCATCCCCAAAGCTACTCTTATCCAACTTCTTCCAGAAAGTTAATCCTGGGGAAAGCCTCCCAATCCTCTCCAGAAATCACAAAATAAACAGAAACGAACAAAAAAATCACAGAGGAACACGTGCCCATTTCCATGCCGGTCCAAAGTTCCAGCTACCCACCCCCATTCCAAGGGCAGGCCTTTGGTCTCTGTTCTACATGGAGCCCCAGACTGTATCAGGCCTCCAGGGAACAGCAGACCACAAGCATGTTGACTACACATTTAATAAAGGACCTCTGAGTACCAGACTTCTTGGGAGAGGATGGAAGAAACATCTGTCACCACCTAGCATATTAACCTGATGTCAGGAAAGTTTCAAAGCCATCTCACATCCAAGCAGTATGTAAAACACATTGGAGGAGAGAGTGGGCTATTATATAGTATTATATAATATTACATATTATATTATATAGAGAAGGGCTATTCTATTCTTAAAGCACTTTAGAGAGGTTATACCCACAACCCCCATTACTGACAGAAAGGCAGTCTTTACAAAGGGTTGTCCTCCTGCCCAAAACACACCGTCTCCTCTCTCCTCTGTGCCTCTTGGCATCTCCAGCCCCGTTAAAGGCTTAGCTCAAGCACCACCTTCTACAAAAGGCCTTTTTGAATTTTTTTAGTAGTAAATGCTTCACTCTGCCCCGTCCCCAATTATTTACATTTTAAAATTTTACTTATTAATTAACAAATGTTATTAAGGACCTACTATGCACCAGGCACTAGGAGTGAGGCATTCTGCTAGGTGCTGAGAATACAAAGACAAAAAAAAAGGTATAATCCCTTTACCTCCAGTAGAAGGTAAGCCTCATGAGGACAGGAACAATTTTTTGTCTTTCTGCTCCCAGCATAGAGCACAGTGCCCACCATCTAGTAGGCACTTAACAGTGTTTAGAGAATTGAAAGGAGGGAAATCCATTGGATCTGTAGGACCTAGAGCTGAAACGGACCTTGAGATATCATCAAGCATTACTCTTTCATTTTACAGGTGAGAAAAATGAGGCTCGGAATGTTTCAGTGACTTGCTCACACCTTGATGATTCTCTTTCATTGATCAGTTCTGACATTGAGGGCTTGGTTTAGTGACTTTATCTGACTCTTTTAGGGGTGGAAGAATAAAACAGGAATAGGGATTGGACCTGTGATTTAGGAGGAAACTTCTGAATAAGGAAACTTTCTCTACTTAGTTGCTCCATCCTTGTTTTTCTCCCTTGATTCTACGTTTCCCTCTGTCAGGTTAACCAATCTGTCACCACCTCTGCAACTTAGTTGGTTGGTATTGAAGAGAACCAAAATGACCTTACTACATTGGGGTCAAGGTACAGTGTTTCCAACTGTGGCTGAATGTTAGAGTCAGTGAGAAGTTAAGTGACTTGCCCAGGGTCACACAAACAGCATGTCAGAGACAGGACTTGAACCTAGATCTTCCAGGAGTTCTCTCTTTCTTTCTTTCTCTCTTTCTTTCTCTCTTTCTCTCTTTCTTTCTTTCTTTCTCTCTTTCTTTCTTTCTTTCTTTCTTCCTTTCTTTCTCTTTCTTTTCTTTCTTTCCTTCTTTCTTTCCTTCTTTCCTTTTCTTTCCTTGCTTTCTTTCCTTCTCTTCCTTCCTTTCTCTCTCTCTTTCTTGGAGACAATCAGGTTAAGTGACTTGCCTAGGGTCACACAGCCAGTAAGTGTCTAAGGCTGCATTTGAACTCAAGTCTTCCTCCCTCCACGGCTTGTGCTCTATCCACCGCACCACCTAGCTGTGCCCCCAGACTGGCTTTCTATTGTGGGATAATAATAATAATAAACAATAACAAAGAAACAGAAGAAAATGTGCAACACATTATGGTAGGTTGTAAAAATTTAACCCTTATTGAATACCTAGCAAGATTTGACCTAGCGGCTAAAACCATATATAAAAAGCTCATCAACTTTCATGGACTGACAGGCAACAAATCACTAAACTACTACAAATACAAGACACGAAATATTCTGGAAAACTCTACCAATAAACTGCACTGGAGTTAGGCTCTTTTGATGGACTGAACCATTGCCTGCAATTGCTCAAGTCATAATATTGATCCATAAAAACTCAAAAATAACATTTTAATAGATGTTGCCATTTCAGACAACTCATAATCTCTGAGCTACATGGACTGTTTCTATCTGAGCTTTTGACAAACTGGGAATGATTTTTCTAAAATAAAATGATTTTTCTAAATAAATAGAATAATTTTTCTAAAATAACAAAGATAGCAGACATTTATAACTTAGCTAGGAGGTGCAGTGGATAGAGTGCTGGGCCTGGAGTCAGGAAGAATCAAGTTCACGAATTCAAATCCAACCTTAGATACTTACTAGCTGTGCGATCACTTAACCTTGTTTGCCTCAGTTTCCCCATCTGTAAAATGAACTGGAGAAGGAAATGGCAAACCACTCCAGTATTTTTAGCAAGAAAACCTCAAATGGGGTCACGAAGAGTCAGACATGACTGAAAATGACTGAACCACAACAAATAACTTAGCTCATTTGATTCTTACATTTTTTTTAAAGGTTTTACAGAGAGGAAACTGAGGCTCACAGAGAATACGTGCCTTGCCTGTGGTCCCACAATTAGTCACTGTCAGAGAGGTCAGATTTGAACTCGGTTCTCTCTTGATACCAAGTCTAGAGCTCTTTCCACTAAGCCATGCTGATGATGGGATATGCGTGCTCCATCCTTGTTTTCTCCCTTGATTCTGTGTTTCCCTCTCTCAGGCTAACCAATAGCATCTATCTGGCAGCCTGGATAAGGAGAGGTCTTATCACCCCGGGGACACTTAAATACCTTTAAAAAGAGAAACCATTGAGTAGCCAGCTCTCCAAATCTGCTCAGCCTGTACTACTAATAGTTTTTGGGAAAGATCACTCCCTCAATTCATATAAACCAGGGACTCTTAACCTGAGCACTTCTATTTTTTTTTCCTTTTTTTAGACAATTGGGGTCAAGTGACTTGCCCAGGGTCACACAGCTAGTAAGTGTCAAGTGTTTGGTCTGAGGTCAGATTTGAACTCAGGTCCTCCTGACTTCAGGGCTGGTGCTCTATCTAATGTACCACCTAGTTGCCCCTAACCTGAGCACTTTTAAAACACTATTTTGATAACTATATGGTTTCCTCTGTAATCTTGTGTATTTTATGCATCTAAAACCATTATTCTGAGAGATGGTCTTTGGGCTTCACCAGACTGACATGACACAAAAGTGAGGAACCCCCGATATCAACAAACAACAAACTTTAGGACAATTGCATAGGTCCACATCTTCAAAAGACTAGTTAGAGCTCAGGCTTGAGGGATGTAAGTTCAATGGGTGCAGTGCTTGTCTTTGATTATCTTTGTTTTTGCCCCAGTATCTAACCCAGTGCTTTTGTACACAGTAGGTGCTTAATGTTTGTTGAAATCTTTTGTTGAATTCTGCCCCCTGTTTGGGAACTAACTGTTCCACCTGTCATCTAGCCAAGTCACGGAGATGTTCTGTTTCTTGGTTCCCTCAATTGTCATTCCCCATCAGATAGGGGAATATGAGGTGTAATACCCAGGATTCTTTGCTTTGTTTACACGTGGCTTATCCTCAGGTGTTGCCATTATATCAGAAGATAAGATGTGCTACACTGGGTAAAACCACAGCCCATCCTGCTTTGGACTGCACCTAGTAGAAAAGCCCTGGGAAGTTGCCTGAGGCCCAGCTAGTAAGTGCCAGAGATGGGATTTGAACCCAGACCTTCTTGACTCCAAACCTCAAAGCCTATTTCGGCCCTCATCTAGGGGTGTGCTGGAGCCAGCTCAAACAGCTTGTTAAAGTTTCAGTGTGAGCATTTAAACCTTAAAAACTGGCAAATGCTACAGCTACAAATCAGGGCTTGATCTGTCTTGTTGCTTGTCTAGACTTAAGAAAGTGATGGAGAAAATGTTAATAATGCAAACTAAACTTAAAAGCGTGGCCTGTGTGCTTATCTTCTTTCCCCCTCAGAGAGCTAGTTGCTAAGCATTTACCAGCACTCCACTGGCATCTTTCCTGACTGGTGTTGTCACTCAGAAGCCTCTCTGACTCCTTGTTCATTTGGGGGGACCTTAGCATCTCGAGTGGGGTAAGAGGAAGAACACAGGATTTGGAGTCAGAGACCTAGACTTAAATTCTGCCTCTGTCACTAGTAGTGAGACTTTGGCCTGAGCCTCAGTTTCTTTATCTGTTAAATAGGAATGACAATACCTGCCTTCTGTGGCAGGGATGCTGTAACATCCTAGGTAGAGTGCTATACAAATATAAGCAATTATTAGTGTCCTTTAACTCCATCATGAGATTGATTTGAGTTTATCTCATTTTTTTTTGAGGGGCAGAGACCAGAATCATATACAGTAATTCAGCTGTGGACACCCAATGGTTTTTTTTGAAAACTTCATCTTTGTTTATTTATTTTTTGCTTTTTGGTGAGGCAGTCGGGAGCAAGTGACTTGCCCAGAGTCACACAGCTAGTAAGTGTCAAGTGTCTGAGGCCGAATTTGAACTCAGGTCCTCCTGACTCCAAGGCCAGAGCTCTATCCACTTCACCACCTACCTGTCCCAACTTTGTCTTTATCTTATTTTATCTTCCCTGGTAGGAAAAGCACTGACTGAAATCAGAGGACCTGAGTTCAAATCCCAACAATAATGCTACTTCTGTGACTTTGGGCACAGTGGATAGACTGTTGGAGTTGGGGGCTAGAAAGCTCTGAGTTC